CGCTTGGCCGCCGCCGCCGGTGCCCATCCTGTCGGCGGAGGAGCTTCTGGGCGGGGATTGCTGCGAGAAGTCGAGCCCGAAGTGCAACCTGGTCGTGGGAGAGCAGCCCGCCGACCCGGACGCACAGCAGGTCTGTAAGCATAAGCTCTCTCCTTTTCCTTGTGCCTTTCTGTGCCACTGTCCCCTTTTCCCATGGTTTTTTTCCTGGTAGTGTTGTTGCGGTTATTTAACCCGTGGAGGAATCAATTACTTCCATTCGCAGCAAACAGGCAGCTGCTGCATTTGGTTCTTTGGTGGTAGTACTTGAGAAATATTGAGTCGAGGTGTCCTTTGATTTACGATCATGAACGCGGTAAATTAGTGATCTTCCATTAGGAAAAATAACGTGGATGCTTGGTGTTTGAAATTTCCTTTTAGGATCCCCCTTTCTTCTAACTTCAGCTTTCCCGGGACCTGTCTGAGAGCTGATAAAATCATGAGTAATGCTTTTGTGCTGTTGGAAGTTACATATTCTTATCGAAGCTCTACTGCGTGTTCTCCCACGTTTTGTCAGAAGGCTGCTGCACAAATGGCAGCATTAGTGTGAATAATAGAGAATATTTCAATCCAGGTGTTATTTCTCCAATTCAGAACCGTTGGTTTGCTGTTTCTCAACGKAATATTACAGATTGTTCCTCCCTAGACATTGTTTCCCTGTTCCGCCGTGTGTCCTCCGATCTTTTGCACAAGGCTGCTACAGAGAGGGCAGCGTTAATGGGACGGATAGATTGTATCCAGATGTGAATTTTCCAAGTTCTTCGTACAGTTTCTTATTTTGACAGGGAACAGGAATTCTTACTCTTTACAATCAGATCCAATGATTTTGAATAATGGAATAGGGAAAATGGAATTGACGTTTGATACTTTTTTTTTCTTTCATGAAATGTCTGTGCTTTCCTCATGACGGGGAAGTTATTGGTGGTTCCTCCCTGCTCGAAGAGGAGAATGTAGGCCATATTTTGAGATAAATTTTCTGCAAGAATTGTAGCCTGGACAAGACTGGTTAGTTGTCCCAAGCGTTCTATTTTTCTCTACAGTTGTTTGGTGGGGTTTTGTTTTGTTTTGTTTTGTTTTGTTTTTTCCATTTTGGGTGCTACATTCTTCTTTTTTATCGTTCCTTATCTGCCTCTCATATGCAAGTGAAGCTGCAAAATGTGGTCTCAAAAACCCCAGCCAATGAGAAAATATAATCCCAACCTCCGACAAACAAAAAAATAAATAGGTAAAACCTCAAAAAGTAACAAAAAAACTAACCAGAAAACCCCAAACCTCTACAAACTTACAAAATCATCGACTTTTGTATTTCAGAGCCTGTCTTTAACTCGAGCCCTCTTCCCAGAGAGAGGTTCTTTGACTTGATACATAGATGTCTCAGACAATTTTCACAGTAGAGGCATCTCTTCCCATTCTGAATATATATTTACAACTCCAGATATATACGCGAAATATTCTGCAGTTAGACACTTGAATAAACTCCATTTGCACCCTCACAACTGTCTGCATCGTTTAAGGCGTGCACCCGTACTTCTGCTCTCCTACAATATTTTGCTGAAAAGGTGTCCTTCGAACCTGAAGATTCACGGTTTAGATGAATACTAATAAACGTCTATCTTTAACACCATGATTTCTGAGAAAACAAAAGCCATTTCTTGGTCTTTCAAGCTTTAGAAATTATTGTTTGAGTGTAAATATCTCTAAATTATACAAAGCATCAATGTATGTGGCCTACTAAGAGGGGAAATAACCTCTTAAAATTTACTTTATCTGTATTAGCCATATCTGTGGTATTGCAATATTTGAATGCAATCCAGTTTCTATAACCCAATTTTAAAAATACTGGGGAGAATAGACTACTATCGGGAAAACACATACATAAGAAAAAATTAGAGCAAACTGAAACTGCTTTAGAATCGGCAACAGTTTGCTGTTGAAGTCTGTAGAACAAGGAGAGGAGACGAGGCAGATGTACCTGCATTTGTACTCTCAAGCACTTTCCCCAAAAGTTTTAGGGGTGATTGAACAAGTGATTGTGGCCAGGTGCACTGCAGCTGCTTATAGTACCCATGCGGGAAGGGACCAAGTGACCTAAAGCCCGAGGCCAGGAGAGAGGGGTGGAAATGAAGTACTTAGAGCAGTAAATGTTAAGTGCTTAAGGCAAATATGTGAGAATGAGCCCGATGGCTGGGGTTCTTCTGGGGAGGGTCTGAATGTCACATTTCCTACTTCAGATGCATTCTGTAATGATTGCTATAAAAAAATCGTGATGGAGATTGTACTTCTGCAGTAATAGGGTAGGAATGATCATACTATGAGCGACATATTGTGATAATCTTTTTTACCTATAATATATCCGCATTAGTAAATTACTTTTCCCGGGAGGTAGATATAGCACAACCAAAGGATGCCTCGACCTTTATCCCGCTCGTGATCAATTAAAGGTCTCAGGTCGGGTGGAGAAAAGCCGAGGCTGGATCCATGTCTCCGTGGCAAATGCCCCATCCCCGCGAGCTGCCCGTGGGTGAGGCAGAGCGACAGCGCTCGGTGCCTGCAGTGCCGGGAGGAGGCTGCGGGCGCCGCTGTTGACCGAGAGGAGAGAGAGCAAGATCGGAGCGCTGCAGCCCCGCCCGCTGCGGCCCGGCACGATCGCTAAATCGCTGGATTTTCGGCGGTCTGCAGGTCTTGCGATCGTTCCGGCTGCACCGAACCCTGCTGCAGAAGGCAGAGGGGCCGGCGGAAGCGG